AGCTGAGTAGTTAAGATGCAGCAGAGGTCTTTGGCCCATAGAATAGTCTTTAGGACATCATAGAAGTGCTTTGGATTTTGCTATCAGCATAAAACTGAATCTCATTTGCCTTCTTACTGAGCCAAGAATCCTGCATCTCTCTAAGCTTCACTTGAACTTTACTTTTGATGGAGTTAAACCATTGGTTACAGCAAATGGAGAAATTTTGAATGCTGTGGATAAGTTCATTTACCTTGATGGCATACTTTCCAGGGATGTCCACATAGATTATGAACTTGACACATGCATTGCCAGAGTTAGCTCAGCATTGGGAGGCTCTGAAAGAAAGTGTGGGAGAGAAGAGGTGTTATTAGGCTGACTACCAGGCTGAAGGTCTACAGAACCGTTGTGCTGACTTCACATTGTATGCTTGTGAAATCTGGACAGTCTAGCAGCACCATGCCAGAAAATGGAATTTCAATTTGAATGGTCTTGGGAAGATTCTAAACATTACCTGGCAAGATAAGGTACCTAACACTGAGGTCCTCTCTCAAGCTGAACTGCCAAGCATTCAAACTCTACTGCAGAGAAGGAAACATCTATGGCCGCATAGCCTGAATGCCAAATGTATGTTTACCCTAAAAGACTATTTTACAGAGAACTTGCACAAGGCAAGTGCTCACACAGAGATCAGAAGAAGCCGTACAAGGACACTTTCTAGGTCTCTCTGAAGAACTTTAGTATTGATTGTAAGACATGAGAAACAATGGCACAGGACCAAAGTGCCCACATCAATGAAGGTGCTGTGTTCTGTGAGCAAAGCAGAATCATGGGGGCAGCTATATGGCACAGTAAATAGAGCACTGGTCCTGGAGTCAGGAGAACCTGAGTTCAAAGCTGGCCTCAGACAGATGATACTCACTAGCTGTGTGACCCTGGGCAAGTCACTTAACCCCATTGCCAAAAACAAAAAACAAACAAAAAAAGCAGAATCACAGTAGCACAAAGGAAACATGAGATGCACAAATCCACAGACATCTCTATTCCAAATGTTCAAATGGACTATTTGTGCCTGACCTGTGGTAGAGCCTTTTGAGTTCCTATTGAACTGATCAGCCACAGTTGAACACACTGTACCTTGACCCCAGCATAATGATGTCATTGATCTTCTTCTGGTACAAAGGGCAAACAACCATAGTTTTGGTTTTAGATAGATGCTTTTCATGATATTAAGAAAAGATTCCTTTGTGCCAATACTTTGTAGGGTTTTTAGAATAAAAGAGTATTGTACTTTTTCAAAGACTTTTTCTGCTTCTATTGAGATGATCATCTGATTTTGGATGCCTTGGTTTGGTATGATTAATTATGTTGATTATTTTCCTAATGTTGAACCATCCTTGTTTCTCTAGTATTAATCCCTCTTGATCATAATTAATTACTTTTTAGACAAACATCTGTAATCTGTATGATGAGATTTTGTTTAAAATTTTTGAGTCAATGTTCATTTAATGATATTGGCCTATAGTTTTCTTTCCATATTTTATCTTTCCCTAGTTTAGGTATTTGAACTATATTTGTCTCATAAAAGGATTCTGGTAGGGCACTTTCATTCTCAATTTTTGAGAATAATTTGTGAAGTATGGGTACTGTCTTCTAAAAAGTTTGATAGAAATCTCCTGTGAATCCATCAGGACTAGGAGTTTTTTCTTTTGTAGTTCCTTTACAGATGGATTTATTTCCTTTTCTGAATTTGAATTATTTAAGATCCCTAACTGGTTTTCTGATCTATTTTTGAAGATATTTCTCCAATTTTTTAAATGTGTGCTTTATTTTGTTAGTATATAACCATGCATAATATGTTCCAGTTATTCTTATTTCACCCGATTTTGCTGTGATTTTTACCTTGCTCATTTGCTTTTTTATTTAGTTGATTTTCTATTCTTTTTCATCAGATTAGGCAAGGGTTTACCTATTTCATTGGTCTTTTCAAAGAACCACCTTTCAATTTTGTTTGTCAGTTCTGTAGTTGTTTGTTTCCAATTTATCTATTTCCCCTTTAATTTTTAATGCCTCTTCTCTTATGCCTATTTTGGGTTTGTTTATTTGTTGATTGTCTAATTTTTTAAGTGCATATTCAATTCATTAATCCTCTCCTTTTCTATTTTGTTCATGTATGTTTGTAAAAATATGATTTTTCCCCTGAGGACTGCTTTAACTTGCATCTCAAAAATCTTGTTATGTTTTTTATCACTATCATTTTCCTTTACATAGTTATTAATTGTGGTGGGGGTTTTTTGGGGGGGGGTTAAGTAACTTGCCCAGAGTCACACAGCTAGTGAGGGTTATGTGTCTGAGGCTGGATTTGAACTCAGGTCCTCCTAACTCCAGCACTGGTGCTCTATCTATTCATTGTTATTAATTGTCAGAAGATTTATTCTTTGACCCATTCATTATTTAGTATTTCATTGTTAAATCTCCATGTGGGATTGTAATCTTTTGTTTGTGGTCCCCCGAACCAAATACTATTTTGATGGTGTTATGGTCTATAAAGGATGTGTTAAGTAGTTCTGTCTTTTTACATTTGTTTGCAATATCTCTGTGCCTGGTCAGTTTTTGTAGAAGTTTCATGTGGTGTTGAGAACTATTTATATTCTTTTGTTGTCCCATTTAGAAGATGCCATAAGTCTTTTAACTCTAGTTTCTCCAAAAATTTGTTCAGTTCCAAATTTTTGCTTTGTTTATCTTTTCTGTTAGACTTGTTCAAAACTGAAAGAGAGCTATTGAAGTCTCCTATTGTGTTACTGTCTATATCTTTTTGTAGCTCAAATGTTTCCCTTATGGATGCTAAGGAGCTTATAAGTTTATTAAAGATATAAGTTTGTTGTCTATGGTTCCTTTCTACATCATATAGTTTGCTTGTTTATCCCTTTTTATATTTTGGATATTTGTTTTTGCTTCATTAGGTAGCATGATTGCAACTTCTGCTTTTTGGATTCATTTGAAGTATAGCAAATTTTTTTTTCCATCTCCCCAGTTTGATTTTGTGAATGTCTTTGTTTTTTAAATGCTTTTCTTGTAACCAACAGGTTGTAGGATTTTCTTATCCAATCTCTCACTCTTTTCAATTTTATTGGGTTCAGTTAAAGTTATGAGAATTAGGTTTATATTTTCCTCCATCTGTGTCTAATATTGCTTTTTTTTCAAATTATTATTTTTCACCTCCTACTCTAAAGAGAGTACTATGTCCTTTAATTTACTTTGCCTTAATCTTTTTAAAGGTGGCCTTGTTCTCACTGGTTCTTTTTCCCTTACCACTGATCCCCTCCTCTTATTTGTTAATCTCTCTCCTTTTGGGGCTTTACTTATTAGTTCCTTTTTTCTCCTACTTTTATCTGGTTTTACAATTCTTCCTCCCTTTTTTTCTCTCAGTCAAGTAGATTTCTTCTTCCTCTCCTCCCCTTCAACTAGTCTTGTTTGTTAATTTTTATTTCATTTTTTGTACCCATTTCCAAAAAGAAGTTTTCGCACTTTCTTCATCCATCTTCTCTATCTATTCTATATTCATTCTTTGATTCATGACCCCTAAAATTATCTGGTAGGGACCCTCCCCCCATTCTTGATTATGCAGCCCACCTCTGATCAGTACCTTCCCCCCGGTCACCTTTTCCCCCATTTGCCTCAAAATCTCCTTCCTGGGTCCATGCTCTCTCATTCTTCCAGGTTCCAGTTGCCCTCAGGAGTTCCAACTTCCCCTTTCCCAGGGTAGGGCAAGTAGACTTTTTAAACATCAAAACCCCCAAGCCATGCTGAGTGCAAGGTCCCCATCTCCCTTTATGGATCATCCCTCTTCACCCATAGGAGTGAGCATTCATCAGTGCGACCTCCTCCCACCTCTAAAGTAAGGCCTTTTTTTTTTCTCCCATCTCCTTCCACCCTGTCCAATTTAATCTTTACTCATGATATAGCTATCTGTCTTGTTGCCCTTCACTCCTACCCTCAATCCTCCATCATCCATCCATTTCCCAAGGCTCTCCAGCCCAGTGACATCAGACCAGCCTGGCCAATTCATTCTTTATTATTCAGAAGACATAAAAATCACTAGAAAAACTTTACAAAACAAGCCTCCAGTCACCCTCCCTGCCCGCTACAAGCAGTGCTCAGAGGAGAGAAGGAGAACCAATCTGGCGACTTTGGGATCCTTGGGGATGGTTGGAGGTGAGGCAAGGTAAGTGGGGTCAGGTCTGAGTTGCTGTGGGATTGGGAGAACTTGCCACTAGGCCAATGAGGGTCTCCTCTGTTCAGGATTTCACCTTGATATTGCCATCAACTCTGGGAACATTAGAGCAAGATGGGACTTCAGGGATTATCTGGTCTACCCCTCTTCATTAAACTTTCCCAAAGCTACACAGAAGAGCCAGGACTAAAACTCAGTTAGATACTCTTGCTATGATTACTACCAGTGGTGTGCTGTACATAAAACCAGAAGTTTACTAGCTATTGTGACCTTGGGCCAGTCTGTCTCTTGGGACTTGTTTCCTTATGTGTAAAATGAAGGGAGGTTTAATTAAATGGTCTCTAAGGTCCCTTCCAGCTAACAAATCTAGGATCTGTGATTCTGATGAATTGGTTGCCATCTTTTTTCTCCCACTGCCCCTGCCAATTGGCAGCCCTTTCCTCAGAGTAAGATGATTCCGTGTTCCACCAACACTGGTGGGTTGGTCCCAATCCTATGCCGTCAGGAGAGGCACCAAGCAGCTTTCGCCCCCTCCCTCACCTTCCACCTCCGTACCCCTACCTCCTCCACAAGAATAACTGTAAACAAATTGTGAAGTGCTGCACTTTCTTTTGTGAATGACTGTTGTCACTGACTATCAGTGTGCAAGCCCCAAGCCCCAGAAAAGAGAAACCCTCCCAGCCCTTTTGCAATGGCTAACATGGGAGGATAAAGTGGCCCATCCCTCCCACCCCTGACAGCCTACATTTCCTTAATGTCCTACCCCATCCTGCCCTCCCACCCCAGTCCCACCATTACCCCAAGGAGAAGGGAAGGGTATGGGATCTTCTCATCCTCTCCTCCCTTGTCCCACTTAATCTCTATTCTTGATCCCAAACCCCTCCCCTGGCCCCAGTGCCTCATCCCATGTTGGCAGACTGGTCAGAAACAGTCACAAGAGGTCAGAGTCCCTGCCCCAAACCCAACCTCAGTGGTGAAACTCGGACTGGACTGGAGGGTGCAGGATGCTGCCACAACTCCACCTGCCTTCACTTGGGGTTCTGGACTTCAGGGTAGTCATCTTCCTCCATGGGGGGAGAGAATTTCAAGTTGGGGCCAAAGAACTTGTCTTTCACAAAGAAGAATTTCTGTCCTGGGAGGAAATCCTTGTTGTCTGGGGCGTCCCGTTGTTCCTTGATCTCTTTCTGCCCACTGGGGTTGGGGTTTTTGACACTGCCCACAAAGAGTGGAAGGTGGGTGACATCATCGAAGATGAAAAAGAGGAAGGGCCGGTTCATGTTGACAGAGAAGAGGGACATGCGGGACATGACCGCGCTGGTGGCAGCAGATGCCTCCACACCAGCCTCGTCCAGCTGTAGAGTGGCCCGGTGCTGGACGCTGGACACCACAAGCTTCCTCTCTGAGATCCCACGTAGGTCTGGGTCATGGAACAGCTCTTGGAGGCCTGTCCAGAGGCAGAGGGAAGCTGGTCATTACTGTGAGAGGACTTAGCCCTCCCTTCCTAGAAACCTGTGCCCAAAGGGGAAACCTGGCCCATCTGCCCTTTGAGGGAGAGGGGCGGCAGCAGTCTGAGGTCCAGGGCATGGCCCTATGGCCGGACTCTTCCCACTGCCTTTATAGAAACATCCAGCCTCATGGCTAGAGATTTCCTTAAGCTTCCAGACCCCCTTATGGCTCCTGGCTCCTTGCTCCATTTTGGCCTGTTTATTGTTGTTTTGATAACTATTTGAGTACAACTGGTTTTCTTTGTAATCCAAAATATTATTTTGTGTGTTTAAAACCATAATTCTGAATAGGGGTCCATAGGCTTCCCTAGACTGCCAATGGGGCCCTTGAACCCTTTGGATAAAGTGAGCTAATATTTACAAAGTGCTTAACACAGTGCCTGGCATGTAGCAGGCGCCGTATAAGTACTTATTATTTTCTTCTCCGTGACACAAAAAATGGATAAAAACTCCTGGGCAAGACCAGACCTCTCTTTTTACTGAGGAAGCACCTGGGACAAGAAAGGGGAAGCGGCTGCCCCACACGATCTGGTGAGTCAGAGGCAGGCCTGAGGCAGAGAAGCGAGGAGTCCTGACTCCCAGGCCAGGGATCTTCCCCCCGGCCACACTCCCATTCCTCTTGCACGGAAATATAAGGTACCAGGTACATGAAGAGTACCAGGTTTCTGAGTCAGATAGAGGGAGTCAGGTGGCACGGACAGAGGTCTGGATTCAGATCCAGGAAAATCTGGGTTCAGACCCTGCCTCTGACACTTATCAGCTAGGGGACGCAGCCTCGCTGGGGCTCAGTTTCACCATCTGTAAAATAAGAGAGTTGGACCAGACATCCTTGAAAGTCTCTTCCTGCTCTAATTCTATGCTTTAATCTAGATTTGAATCTTGGCTTTGCTGTTTACAAGCTATATGACCTTGAGCAGGTCACATTTAACCTCTCTGGGCCTCAGTTTCTTCAACTGTAAAATGAGGGGGTTGAACTAGATGGTCTTTAGGATTTCCAGCTCTAAATTTAGGCTCCCCAGGGGCTCCTAGTAGGCCAGGATGAAGGGGATGTATCTAAGGGCTCGAGCCACTACTGTCTTCCCACCTTCCAACCTCTAGTTCCAGGAGTGGACTGAGAAGACAAATCCTAGACACGAGCTCTGTTCTCCCCCCCCCACACACACAGAGCTCTTTTCCTTGCCCCAATCCTAGATGGTCTTACCCAACTGGCCAAGGGTCGACACCAGGTCCATCTGGTGGTCCAGGTGCAGCTTGGGGAGCATCACTTCCGTGGGCCTCTCCTTCATGAAGGGCTGGTACAAGGCAGCCCCGCTCAGGTTGCCTAGCACCTGGGAGGCATTCCATTCAAACTGGCTGGGGACTACGGCCACAAAACTCATGTTGTTCTTGAAAGGGATCTGAGCCACCTGGGGGAGAACCAAGGTGGGCAGTGAGGTCAAGGACCCTGGGGGAAGCAAAGGGAGATATGGGGCCTGGGGGCCCAGAGAGAGAGCCCAGAGCAAAGAAGGGAAGCCATGCTCTGGGCCTCTAGACCACTGACCTGCATACTGTTGGCTCTTGTATATCTAAAGCCCTGCCTCTCCAGGCAGGTTTCTCGGAAGCCCCCGGGGATCTCAAACCCGAGGGGCATCAAGAACAAAGTCATCCCTGAATAAGACCCACCCCAGTGCCCCCCACTACAATATCATTGACACGTAGTGACCCAGCCTCTGCTGGAAGACTGTAAAGAGATGCTCACTTCACTCTGGCCCCGGCCATCTCCTCGCACCTTGTCTTTTGAATTTATATTTCCAACACTTAATAAATGCCTTTCATTCATTCATTCATTCAGAGGTAGCTAGGTGGTGCAGTGGATAGAGCCGGGCCTGGAGTCAGGAAGACCTGAGCTCAAATCTGACTTCACATACTTACTAGCTGTATGACCCTAGCTCTGTCTGCCTCAGTTTCCTCAATTGTAAAGTGGAAATAGTAGCACCCATCTCACAAAGTTGTTGTGAGGATGAAATGATATAATATTTGTAAAGCACTTAGCATGCTGTCTAGCACATGTGTTGTTCAGTCAATTTTCACCTGTGTTCAACTCTCCATGACCCCATTTGGGATTTTCCATTTCCTTCTCCATCTCATTTGACAGATGAGGAAACTGAGGCAAATGGAGCAGAGTGACTTGCCCAGTGTCACACAGTTAGCAAGCGTCTGAGGCTGGATTTGAACTCAATTCCTCCTGACTCCAGACACTGCACCACCTAGCTGCCCTGCCTGGCACATAGCGGGCACCCTGGCACATGGTAGGCCCTTAATAAATGCTTATTTCTTTCATTCATTCAATGAGGGAAAAACCCACTGCCTTGGAGGCAGCCTCATTTGGACAGCTCCCATTGTTAGCACATTCTTCCCTTGATCTGGCCTAAATCTGCCTCTCAGTGCCTTGCACTTATGGCTCCTAGCTTGGCGCTCTTCTGCCAGGCAGAGCAAGGCTGATCTCTTGTCCACATGACTACTCTCTGGTATTTGAAGACATGGATCGTACCTTTCTTGCCTGGCCTCCAGTCCTCTCACCGGTCCAACTGGTTCCCTCTGGATGTGTCCCAGCTTACTGCCATTGAGAGTAGGTTTCCTGTCATTTCTTTCTTTCTTTTCTTTTGTTTTAAATTTATTCTGTAATTTCTTAATCCTTGTATCTCAAGTCCATAACAGAAGAGGTACTTACTAAGTCTTTGTTTAATTCAATAAGGCTCTGACTTCCCCATGTGCAAAGAGGCTATTGGACTCCATGCCACAGAAGAGAAAGAGTCTAGGCATGGTGCACTGAGCATAGAATCATGGGACCTGTGTTTGAATCCCAACTGTGACACTTAGCCCCACCTCTGTAACCTCGGGTGGGTCACAAACTCTCTGGCCTCAGTTTTCCCACTTTGCTAAAGGAAGGTGGTGGATGAAGCGGTCTCTAAGATCCCCTCCTATTATAGGTCTACAATTATATAATCTCCAAGCTCCCTTTCGGTTTTAAAAAGCCAAGGATCCTATTGTGGGTGCTCAGGCTGCTGCTCAGACTACCCTCATTTTTGGTGCTTTGCGAAACCCCAGGAAATGCCCAGCTGAAGATGGGGGGATGTGGAACCCAGAAGAGAAAGTTAATGGGCAAGAAGTGGAAGGGAGAATAGAAAGTATTGTTTTCTCTGAGGTTTGTTTTGCATATAACGAGTTTGGCAGCATGCAGGACCAGGCAGTGCAGGGTAAGAAATGACCTCAGAGTCAGAAAGACCTGGGTTCAAGTCCCACCACTGCATGAAACTGGACCAGTCACCTCACCCCTAGCGCCTCTGGGAACTCTCCAAGAAGATGAGTTACAGGGCAGTAGCTGACCCGCATTCATAGAGGAACGTTCCTCATCTGGGAGTTCCCTATGCTAGATGCTAGTGGTCTGGTCCCTATCCACCATCCCTACAGTGACTCCAAATTCAGCGCTCCTTCCTCTAGAATGGGGGATGGATGAAAAAATGAACACACTGAAGACAAGTGAGTACGAGAAATTATGGGAATTAAGGGGAAAATTAGCAAAATGGAAATGAAATAGAACAATTGAATTAAGAAAGAAAATAAAGAGCTGAGATTTTGCAAAAAAAAAAACCAATAACATTGATAAACCTTTAGCAAATATAATCAGTCAGAGAAGAGAGGAAAACCAAATTGCTATAATCAGCAGAGAGAAGGAGAACACAGTGAATGAGTAATGCCGGGGTTAAAGGCCAAACGATAGAAACAGCCACAAATTCTATTAGAGATAACAATGATAGAGATATAGATATACGACATTATCAGAATTTATGGGATGCATCCAAGGCAGAACTCTGGGGGCAAATTGGTTTCCCTGAGGGCTGATATTAACGAGAGAGAAAAAGAGAAAATTAATGAGTTGAGTTGGCCATTTTAAAAATTAGAAAATGAGACTGGAGGATAAAGGAGGAGGGAAGAAGGAGCAGGAGGTTTTAAGAGTTAGAGGGAGCTGCCCGAATAGGAAAAAATCTTTGCATCGAATTTCTTTGATAAGGGTTTGCTATCTAAGATATATAAACAATGAATAAACATCTAAGACTAATAGCCATTTCTCTAATAGATAAATGGTCAAAGAACATGAACTAGCAGTTTTCCAAAGGGCTGCAAAGAACCACTATGTTTAATAGAAATGTATATGTACAGCCTATATCAGATTGCGCACCATCTTGGGGAGGGCAATGGGGAGAGAAGGGGAGAAAAATTTAAAATTCAAAAGCTTATGGAAGTGATTGTTGATAATTCAAAATAAATTAAATACAAAAATAATAAATAAAAAAAGAATTCACAATCACATAAAAAAATGCTCCAAATCACTAATAGTAAAAGAAATGTAGATCAAAACATCTCTTGAGGTTTCACCTCATGCACGGCAAATTGGCAAAAAGGACCAAAAATGGCAACAGTCAATCTTGGAGGAGTTGCAGAAAGATAGGCACTCTAATACATTGTTGGTGGAGCTGTGAAATGGTATGAGCATTTTGGAAAACAATTTGGAATTATGCAAAGGAAGTTAACCAAAATTGAATCAGACTCCCTCATTGGGCTTATACCTCAAGGAAACCAACAATAAGGGGGAAAAAAAGTCCTCATATACTCCAAAATATTTATAATGGCACTTTTTGTGATAGCTTAGAATTGGAAACAGAGTAGATGTCCATCAATTGAGGAATGGCCAAATGAATTGTGGTACATGAATGTAAGGGGATATGACTGTACTATAAGAAATGATGTGTGTGGGGCAGCTAGGTGGATAGAGCACTGGCCCTGGAGTCAGGAGGACCTGAGTTCAAATCCAGCCTCAGACATATAATACTTCCTAGCTGTGTGATTCTGGGCAAGTCACTTAACCCCAATTACCTCACTAAAAAAAAGAAGAAGAAGAAGAAGAAGAAGAAGAAGAAGAAGAAGAAGAAGAAAAAGAAAAAGAAATGATGTGTGGGATGAATACAGAGAAGCAAGGGAAGAACTACATGAATTGAACAGAGCGGAAGAAGCAGAGCCGAGAAAAGAATATACACAGTGACTGCAACAATGTAAATGGACAGAACAACTACACACCAGAAAACCAAAAGTAAATGTAACCCAATTAAAAAGTTCAAGTAAGACTCAATTGAAGAGGTATGAGAAGACAGCCCCAACCTACCCCTTGCTGGAGGTGGGAGGTCCACAGGTCTTAAACATTGCACAGGTTTTCAGACTTTTTCAATGTATTGATCAGTTGTGCTGATTTTTTTTTTTCTTCCTCTCTAAAAAATACTATTTGTCTTATGGGATGGCTCTCTGGGAGGGATACATGGGATATTATGGTGGTGTAAGAAACAGAAGGCATCAATAAAAACTTTTTTTTAGAAGAGTCAAAGAAGCAAGTTGACTGGTCACCAAGCCAAGCAGATGGCTAGGTACTCCTGAGGCCTCTTAGCCCCAGTGACCATGGACTATCCCATAAGCAAGAATGGATTTAAGGAGTACTTGGAGACTGAGCCCCTCCTATACCCCAAAGAGATCAATGATAGAGAGAAAAGACCTGTGAATACAAAAATTTTTATAGTATAGCAGCTATTTCTGTGGTGGCAGAAAACTGGAAGCTAAGGGGACACCCATCCTTTGGGAAATAGTTGAATCAGTGATGATATATGACAGTAATGGAAAATGAGTTTGAACCATAAGACATAGCTTTAGAGAAGTCTGGAAAGACTTGTACAAACTGATGCAGAGTGAAGTGAGCAGAACCAAAAGAACAACTGATGCAGAAACAAAGTTGCAAAGATAAACAACTTTGAAAGACCTAAGAACTTTGATCTGTGCAATGACCAGCCAGGATTCCTGAGGACCCATGACACAGCCTGTTCCCAACCTCCTGCTGGAGAGGTAACAGACTCGAGGTGCATAATGAGACAGACATTTTTGAAAATGAACCTTGTGGGGAATTTGTTTTGCTTGACTGTGCATATTTGTTGCAAGGGTTTTCTTTTTCCTTTTCTTTTCTTTTACAATGGATGGAATGTGGAAAGAAGAAAAAATACATGTTTGTTAACTTAACAAATCAACTTCTTTAAATAAAACTAAGCACTTACCACTCATCCTGGAACAGATCAAGCAGAGCCCACCCTCACTCTGTCCTCTCCAGAGCCCTGAATGTCTTTTGCCATCCTTCAATGTCCAGGCTCCAGAGTCCCTGGCATCTCAAGAAAGGGGACCCGGGCTAAGCCAGCTTGAGGCTCTCACCTTCCCCTCCTCCCTGTGCCACTCACCAGTACATCTGCCTGTTCCAGCAAGAACCAGCGCAGAGGGTATTTCTTGGCCTTCATCATTACCACGGGGACTACATACTTCTCATCCAGATGAAAAACATCAGTCTTGGTCAGGCTGGGATCAAACTTGGTCTTCCAGAAACCTGCAGCCAAGCAGAATGGAGGAGCTACCAAGACTGGCTGGTCTCTGTGCAAAGAGCACTAGGTTGGGAGTCAGGAGACCAGGGTCAGGTACCAAGGTCTGCATCCTACTCCCTGTGGGAAAGGGCAAAATCATTTGCCCTTTCTGGCCCTCAGTTTCCTTCTCTGTAAAATGAAGGGATTAGATGAAAAAACCTCAAGTTTCCACAGCTTCAAACTCAATGGTACTCACTCTCCATCACTTCCTCATAGCCATCCCCTTGCCAAATCTAGAGCCTACCCCCACAGCATCTCCTGCATTCTTTCCCTTCCCTCCATCTCCACCCACACTTGCAGGGGTGGGCAGCCTGTGGCTTTGAGACCACATGTGGCCCTCTAGGTCCTGAATCCAAATGGATTCAGTCAAAAGGCCACACTTGAGGACCTTGCAACTAGCCCCCCCACCCCAATTCAGCCCCTCATTTCCTCTCTTCCTGGATTATTCAAGGAGCTTCCTAAATGGTCTCCCTGCCTCCAGGCCACTGTCCAACAAATGCCAAAGCCACATTCCCAAAGTCCAAGTCTGACCATATCACCTCTATTCCTCTAGGGTGAATGTCTGACATGCAAAGCCCTTCACAGCCTGGCCTTGGCCTGCCTTTCCAGATCAGACTTGGAGTATGCATTACTCTACAATCCAGGCAAACTAGCTTGCTTGCTTGTTATCCCTTACATCTCCCACGTCTTGGTCTTTGCATAGCCTATGTGTCCCCTGTGCCTGGAAGTCACTTCCTGCTCCTAACTCTCAGAATCCTTTACCCCCTTCAAAGTTGAGCTCAGCTCCCATCAGCTATAAGAAGTCTTTCCTACTCCCTGCCCTACTCTGCCAGCTGCTGACTTCTCCCCATAATTACTTTTTATTTGTATTTTATATAAAAGAGCCTTCTTCTACGTGTATAATATTATTTCTCCAATAAGATGCAAGTCCTTGAGGGAAGGAACAGGTTTTATTTTTGTTTGAGGATCTCTAGTGCCTGGTACAGTAACTGGCACATTTTTTAAAAAATTTAGACTAGATCTGTGATTTCCTTATTCTAGGGCAGAGGTGTCAAACTCCTGAGTGCAGCCCCAACTAGATTCAAATATAATTGGGGACTGTTTGACAAAATAAATCAAAATGCGATACAACATAGATAATGTTAATTTGTGGTTTTCTAGGTCAATATATGGGGCAGCTAGGTGCTGGTGTCGGGAAGACCTGAGTTAAAATCCAGCCTCAGACACTAGTTATATGACCCTGGGCAAGTCACTTAACCCTGTTTGCCCCAGTTTCCTCATCTGTCAAATGAGTTAGAGAAGGAAATGGCAAACCCCTCCAGTATCTTTGCCAAAACCCCAAATGGGGTCATGAAGAAGCAGGTACCACTGAAAAAGACCAACCAAAAGCAACAACAGTCAACATGCATCCCAAAGACCCATTTCTATTTGAGTTAGACACCAGTGATCTAGGGAACTTCCAGTGAGAAAACAACCTCTTAAATGCTGGACAGCTCTTGGAGCTGGGGAGCTGCCTGGCATTCCGAGAGGCCAAAAGATTGGCCCGGAGTCACTTAATCGGTGTACCTGAGAGGCTAGAGTTGAGACTAAACCAGGTCTAACCGAATCCTCAGCCGGCTTTCTACTCACGAAGTCATGGCACTAATCACCTAATTAATGCAAATTAATGAACTAATACTGGTTAATTAGTATGGTAACACTTTAATGCTGGTTCAATTAACCGCTGATCAACTAGTAGTTATTAAGTATCTCCTATGTGTCAGCCACTGTGAGAAGTACTGGGGTTACAAAAACAAAACAATCCCTACTCCTAAAAGCTTAGTTGTAACAGGGGAGACAAGAAAGAAATGGATATGTATATTTACATGTATATATATATGTATGTGTATGTGTGTGTATATGTGTATGTGTATATGTACATGTATGCATATGTTATGTGTGTATGTGTAAAGAGAAAAAATTCAAGTGCATACAAAGTGGTTAAATCCAAGTCATTTGAGCCTTTGTGGGGAGGGTGATCAGAAAAGGCTTCCCGGCACTTGATTTACATCTTGAAGGGAAGAGAGGAATTCTTGGGGGTGAAGGTGAGAAGGCGGTGAATTCCAGGCACGGGGTGCACAAATGAAAAGACACAAAGATGGTGGATGGAGGAAGGGAGGGAGGCCAGTTTGGCTGGATGGAGAGTGTGTGGAGGAATAATGTCCAATGAAGCTGGAATGATGAATGGGGGCCAGGTCGTGAGGCGACCTAAAAGGTAAATAGGAATTTCTGTTTCCTCCTACAGCCAGACAGAAGCCCCTGGAGTTGAGTAGCGTAGTGAAGTGGTCAGATATGCACTTAAGGAAAATGATTTCATCAGCAGTGTTGAGGATGAACTGGAATATGGAGAGAATGGAGGCAGGGAGGCCACTGTAATACTTCAGACAAGAGGTGACATGGGCCTTCACTAAAGTGGCAGCTGTATGAGGTAGAGAGAACATGTCAGAGTCAATAGAAGGAGCTAGAAATAGAAAGATTAGGCACCTGATGGGCTATGGGAAGAGTGAAAGAGTCTAGTAAAAAGCTGAGGTTGGGGCAGCTATGTGGCAGAAGTGGATAGAGCACTGGGCATGGAGACAGAAGGGCCTGAGTTCAAATCCAGCCTCAGACACTTGCTGTGTGACCCTGGGCAAGTCACTAAACCCCGATGGCCTCAAAAAAATTGCCAAGGTTGCAAAGATGGTGATTGGAAGGATGGTGGTGCCTTCTACAAATAGAGGGGATTTGGAGGAGGAGAGGGTTTAGAGGAAAAGATAATGAGTTCTGTTTTGGATGGGTTGATGTTGAGATGTTGATAAGACATTCAGCTTGAAGTGTCCAGGAGGCAATTGGTGATTTGGGCCTGAAGGAGCCTCCTAGGGCAGAGACTTAGGGTGGATGCTTAGATCTATGAGTCATCTGCCTTTGAGATGATAATTGAAACCATGGGAACTGATGAGGTCACTAAGAGAGAAGCCTGGGAGGCCTAGGACAGAGCCTTGGGGAACACTCACACTTTCTGATTCTTGATTCTCTGATGGCTGAATGTCCATTCAGCTCTAACAATTTGCGCATCTATGGGAGTTTCTTCCCCACCACCACCCCAGACTAACTAAAAGGGAGCAGCCAGGCAGGAGGCAGAGCTGTGACTGTGTTTGGGACCCTGGAGATGCTGGCTATGGCCAACTGGCCATTTTTCACAGATAGATGAATATCTTATCTACTGCCAATCTCTCTCCAGAAGCTGGCTTCTCCCACCTCCTGCCACACACTCAGGGTGCTATGTCCTTCCCTGGCCGTATTCTCTGGGGGCCTCCACCTCCCATCCCTCCTCTTCCCAGGGCTTCTGATCCTACCACACGGCTGGCACCACCAGGGATCTTCCCTTGTAGGCTCAGCCTTCTGGGGGCTCCCAGGGCTGCAGTGAATGAGGGAGGGGGAAGGAAAGAGAAGAGGCATGATGGGGGGCAATCTTGGCACATGCTGGCTCCTACCCTGAAAATACACGGCATTAAGGAGTAGCATCACTGTGTTTGCTGGGAGCTCCGACAGAAAGTTCTCAATCTTCCCCTGTGTGGCCTCCTTCACCCATTGGTTGATGACCTGAAGGTCATCCTTCTCGTTCCCTTTTAAGATGGCGGGCTTCGCACCAAAAAATTTCTCTGACTGCTCCAGGAATTCCTGTTTGACTGGGAGGCCTGCGGAAAGAAGCCAGATAAAGCTATGTTCAGAGATCAGCGTTGGAAAGAGGGGTGGATGTGGAATCAGGGAAACCCCAGTTCTGCCACTTACTAGCGTGGGCTTGTGCAAAGAACCCTGGACTCCAAGCAAAAATACCGGGGTGGGAGCATCCCCTTGCTGGCTGTGAGCCTGTGGGTGAGTTGCTAAACCTCTCTGAGCCTCACTTTCCTCTTCTGTAAAACAGACAAATTCTCCACACATTCTCTCTGTCTCGTTGGGAGTTATGAGTGAAGAGTAAGCCAGTATCGAGCACACACACCTTTTTCCAGGTACATCTTGGAGGCCATGCGTAGGGCTGTGCGGCCCACCTCCTGGCGGGCGCCATGTAGCGTATGATGCAGGCAGGACAAAGATTCTGCACGCAGGACCTTTTGCAGTTGCTGGGCCGTCTTAGTCTTGGCTCCTGGAGAACACGCCGGCTGTGGTCCCATTGGGGGTATCACCAGGCTGGCACACCCCCCCACCCACATCCCACCTTCGCAAGCCACTGCACCAGATACCGCCCCACTCTAAAAGGGGGGTAAGGAACCATGCCCCACAAAAGCCCCTCTTAGTTCTCACCTCCACACCTTTGCTCCTATTCTTGTGCCCTACCTGGGATGTTCTCCCCTCCTTTCCTTAATCTGCCCCTCCTTTGAAGCCCAGCTACAGCCCCAGCATCTTGGTACCTAGGGCATAGGCTGCCCTCTATGGTCCTCTAACTATTTTTGTGTGAGTCTCCTCTACCTTGAAAGCAGGGGTGCTGTCTCCCACTTGTGCCCTCATATCTCCCAGCTGAGCACTGAGTCCATAGTAGGCACTCAATAAATGTATCATTAATTTAACAGAGAGCATTGTTCTGTCCCCAGTCCCCCTAGCATAGTACTGAGTACATAGTAGGCACTCAATAAATGCGTCATTAATTTAACAGAGAGGATGTCTGTCCCCAACTCCTTTCTGATAGGAAACCCTGAGAGTAACCCTTCCCCCAGACATCCCAGGAGGGGCCACATGGCATATGTAGTCAGCATCTGAGGCAGCTGGGAAATTCAGGGATTTCCTACTCATTCCGATTAGACTGGGTTGAGGGTACTCCTGCCAGCTCAATCACTGATTCACTCTGTGACCCTGGACAACTCACTCCCTGACCCTCAAGTTTCCTCCTCTGTAGCAAGAGGGAACTGGGCCGACTGATCCCTGGGGTACCTCCCGGCTCTCCCATTTTAGGGTTCTGCCCCCTCTGAAGCAGGGGGTCGGCCCAGTTACCTAGTTCAAGATGATATAATGCTAAAGCAACACTGAGGGGCGACAGGACCACATTGGGGCTCGTGGATGTCTGCAGGACTTTGGCAAACAGGTCTAAAGTGAACTCCATCATGGCCTCGGCCAGCTTGTGGGTCTGCTCTGCTGAGGGTGTCTCCTTGCAGCCAGTCTCCACTCTCTGCCAGGCCTCCTCTAAGGGCAGCAGGCAGCTGTGCACCCTCGGGAGGGGATCGTGTGTTGGAGCCCCAGAGATGAAGGCATCTGCTCTACTGGGGTGCTCCTGGGTGTCCGTGGGAAAGTTCAAAGCCCCAGAATTTTCTGGTGGCCCCATGGAACCCACTGGTGTCCTGTCTGAATCCTGGAGGAGAGAAAGGAGAGTCAGGAAGAATGAGAAAGTGAGCCATGGTCCTATTTCCTCCTGACGACGCACTGTGCTAAGGAGAGAACATGGGCCTGAAGTCTGAGGGCCTGAGGCGCTGCCACTTACTACCCATGTGACTTTAGGCAAGTTATCCTCCTCTGTAAAAGGAGGGAGGGTGGATCACATGACCTCCAAGGTCTTTTCCAGTCCTAGAGCCAGGATCCTGAATCCATTGGGGATCCCAGAAAACCTCACAAGCACATAAGAGTATCAGTAACCAAATAACCACATGTGGTTTGAGGGGGCGAGGGAGAAAGTCAAGGAAAATGTTGCCTTAATACGGAGCAGAGATCTGGAGATGAGAGGCCACCCGCCACCAAGGACCTCTTAATCGCCAAATCTCCCGGCCTTTTCCCAGTCCTTCCCCTTCTTGGCCTCTCTGCAGCTCTTCACACTCTCTTGTCCAGGATTCTCTCTCTCTCTCTCTCTCTCTCTCTCTCTCTCTCTGTCTGTCTCTCTCTCTCTCTCTCTCTCCCTCCCCCTCCAAGGTCTCCTCCTCCTACCTCTCTGACCATTCCTTCTCAGTCTCTTCTGCTGGATCTTCATTCAAGTCATACCTGCTAACTGTGGGTGTCCCTCTTCACCTCTCCTCTATTTCACTTGGTGATCTCATCCACTCCCATGGATTCATTCTTCATCCTTTTGCTGGGATTCTCAAATCTACCTGTCCAGCCCTACCCTCTCTCCTGACCTCCAGTCTTACATCTCTACCTGTCTCTTGGATATCTCAAATTGGATGCCCTGTCGATGTCTTCAACTCAACATATCCAAAACTAAACTCATTCTCTCTCTTCCCAAACCCTCCTCTCTCCCTGACTTGCCTACAATTGTTGAGGGTGCCATCTTCCTCCTCATCACTCTGGCTGGCAACCTAAGTATCATCCTCACCTCCTCAAGCTCTCTCACCCTCCCATACCCAATCTGTTGCCAAGCCTTGTCAGCCTCCACCCGCAGTATCCAGCATATACATCCCCTGATGCTGCCACCACCACGGCACAGGCTCTCGTCACTAATGCAAAAGTCTTCTGTTGGTCACCCTGATTCATGCTTCTCCCCACTTCAGTCCATCCTCCACTAAGCTATCAAACTGACCCACATGGATACCTCAAACGACCCTCCTTGACACATTTGGAACCCCACCAGTCCTTAGTATCACCCCTTCCTGAATGTCACCTTATTTCCCCTTCTCTCTGGACCTTTGCCATTGGCTCTCAGTCCTGATTGCTGACCCTCCCGATGGGTCTCCCCACTCCTCTCTTGCCATGCCTACTCTCTCTAGGTTGTGTGCCCCAGCATGTAACCCCTCATCCCTCTGGCAAACAGAACCATAGCATTCTTTTAGAATCACAGATTAAGAGCTAGAAGGAATCTGAAAGGCCATCTAGTCTGACCTCCTCATGTTACAGATGAGGAAACTGAGGCTGAGGGTGTGAGAGTAACTTGCCTATGGTCACACAGGTAATATGTGTCATTGGCAGGATTTGAATACAAGTCATAGGATCTTAGATGTAGAGCTGGAAGGGACTTCAAAGCCTACATGTGAAGAAACTGAGGCCTCGAAAGGAAAAGGGTTTTGCCCAAAGTCACAATGTACGGACTAAGTGGCAGGGCCAGGATGAGAGCCCAGGATTAGGAGGAAGCAAAGAGGTGTTTGGGGGCCACTCCTGGCAGACCCTTGGTGGTGGGGCTTTATGAAACTGAGATGTTTCCTGAGTTGTCCTCTTGATTTCACTCCTTGCTCCATCCCTCCTTTAATGCTAATTCCTCTCTCTCTTCAGAACTGCTGTCCCCTTCCCTTTCACCTTTCCCCATTACTAACTGAGAAATAATGCCCGTGCCAAAGATGCCAATAGCTGATAATGCTTTGATAACAAAGTTCCTTCCCTTATATATGAATTATATCCCAGGGCTCTGTCCAGGGGTCCTTCATCTCTTCATCTCTCTCTCTGTCTCTGTCTTTATCTTTGTGTCTCTGTCTCTTTCCTATTTCTGTCTCTTTTCTATCTCATTCTCCCTTTTCTATCTCTGTCTCTGTGTTTCTTTCCTATTTCTCTTCTTTCTCTTTTCTCTCTGTCTCTGTCTCTTTTCTATCTCATTCTCTCTTCTCCTATTTCACTTTTCTCTCTCTCTCTCTCTCTCTCTCTCTCTCCCCCCCCCCCCCTTGGGTTTAATTATCACTTCTATGCCAATAACTATCAAATTCACATCTCCAACTGCCTGCTGGACATTTCCACCTGGATGCCCTACAGGCATTTCAAAATCAACATGTCCCAAAGGGAACCAATTATCTTTCCCCCAATCTCATTTCAGAGTTTTAAATGTTTCCCATTCCGGCTCAGCCTACTGCTGTAGGCTAATTACACGTCAGTTCCCCTCACTAACTTGGCATCCAGCCCAATCGTCCCATCTGCTGTTGCCCCTATAGGGTAGTTCATCTGCTGTAATCTCCAGCCTACATGCCTTTGCACAGGCTGACTATCCTCCCAGACCCAGAATACTCTCCCTCCTCAATTCTACCTCTCCCAAGTCCTGATTCACTTGAAGGCAGCCCAAGTACCACCTCCCTCAAGAAACCATTTCCAACTCAGTTGTCAGTCCCCTCCCCCAGCCCCACCAAAATCACTCCGAATAATCACTTTATTTTGTGAAGTCCTTGTAATTACTTTATCTGTGAATATTTTATTATTTATTTGAATTATTTTATCTGTGAATCCTGCAGTAGAATTCAAACTCCCTGAGGGCAGGCACTTTGTTTTGTCCCCAGCATAACTGGGCAGGTAATGGGGGCCAGGGGAAAAGGCCTCCCTGGTGGCTCTCCAACCACACGCTTGCTTGTGCTTGTGGAATACGCCAGACCCCCACTTCTACCCTGAAACTCGAGCTCCCGTTACTGGTGAATCACTTTGGGGCCCTGACCCAAGGGCTGGCCCCTTGTTTTCTCTGCTCCATTCTTCTCACCACTGGGCTCCCATTACCTGGTTGCCTGACTTGAGGAGGAGAAGCAGGGGTACTTTCTCCTGTTTCTGCCCCTCCATAACTGCATCACGGACTGGCTCCTGGAACAGGAAGCATATTGAGACGCTACCTCCTTTCAGAAAGCCCAACCACTACCCCTCTTGATCTGGAGCCTACAAGAAGGCTTGTCCCTTCCCCAGCTTTCCTCTCCTACTAAGTCAGGGGTCCCAGCCTGGGGCAGATGCTTCCACAGTATCCATACCCCATCTCCCTATGACAAAGCCCTTCTCCAGTTAACAGGAGGAAAGCAGTAGGCAAGGCACAGTGAGCAGTATCTCCTACCCCCCAACCCTCCCACAACCTCAGAACCCCTTCCAAAGGGCTTGTGCTCTCTCTGTCTTTCCCCACCCCATCCCTATTTCCCCACTTCCCAAAGGGGTCTCGCCAGCCCGCCGTCCTTACTGATAAACAGGATCTAGGCAGGACAGACAGGCCAAGCAGCAGGAGGGCCCAGATCGGGGGTGCCATGGTCCTGGAACAGGGGAGACAATTTGTTATCCATCCTTATCTCAGGGCAGCACATGCTTTCACACTCCCCTTCCATCTCCCCAGGGCGAATCCTATCCCCTCCTTCCAAGTCCAGCTCAAATCCCATCTCCTTCAAGAAGCCTGAGGACCACAATGACCTCTGAACCAGGATCATCATTCAGCATTTGGCATACGCTCTTACCTGTCAGCTAGCAGTGACATGGTGCTTTACGTTTTACAATGCGCTTTACATAGTTTATCTCATTTGATTCTCACAAAAACATGAGTGCTATTATTACCCTCATTTTACAGATGAGGAACCAGAGGCTGAGAAAAATCAATGACTTGCCTAGGGTCACACATCTCTGATGTGTCCAGGGCAAGATTGGTCTTCCTGACTCCCATTGGCACTGTCTGCCCCTCACCCAGATGCCAGATGAGATGACTGGCCTGAGGCCTTCCAGCTCCAAAGCTACATTCCTATGACCTTTACACAATAGTTGACTGGTCAGTGGGAAGAGTTGGAGGGAAAGGAGCATGTTAGAAGATTCTTGGGTACCACTTGCTCCCACATGGCATGGGGCCTTTTTCCTACCCTGGTTGGGGTAGGTAGTGACCAGAACTGACTTAGACCAGGGCCATTTCCTACACCCCTTTGGTGGAAACCCTATGTAAAGAAGGCAGTAGAGAGAAACTCCTGCCCACTTCCCAGAACCCACGGGGCCCTTCTCCCTCCTTGCTAGTAACTCTGGCTGAAGGCCCAGAGCTCCCTGAGGTTGTGAAAGGCCTAGATAAGGAGGACTCCACTCCAGCATTCCCATTGTCTGTCCACTCCAGGCTTGCTCTCTCCAGCCTGCTCCAGCCTCTTCTACTCTCAACATAGATCCCTCCCGGCCTCATGTGCCGCCCCCCCCCCCCCAGATAAGAAGGAAAAGTAGAGGCCATGGGGCCCACCTAAGCTGCTCTGGTGTGGCTCTCTGCAGACCACTGGCCTCCCACAGCAAAGTTAGGCCCTCGAGATGACGGACAGCCCTAACCCTGTAAGGGAGAGAGTTCGCATGACCCAGTTGGAAAGAGCATCAGGCCTGGAGTCAGATGAGACGGGTTCAAATTCTGTGCCTAATATTTATGCTTGTGTTAGCCTGGCCAAGTTACCACCTCCCCAGACCTGTTTTCTCATCTAAAAAATAAGAGATGGGACTGCATAGCTTCTCAGGCCCCTTCCAGCCTTAGACCTAGGATCATTCAGGGTTTAACTCCATCAGTTCAAGCTTCCCTGGCCCCAGAATCCAGCTCTCTGGCCCAGGTTACACACTGGATCCCTGGGGGATTTGCAGCCCAACCCCCCCACCCCAACCTTCAGGCCTACCCACTTACCTTGTCAGGCTCCTGGATGTTGTGTACGACGTGTCCACTTTGACACTGTCCTGGGCTCTGGCCCCAACTGCTGCCCTGCCCAGCCCTCCCACCCTGACCTTTGATCTCAGTCTTTTTCCAGATTTCTCTCCCTTTCAGCAAATATTGACCGACACATCCATTTAAACATTTGTATAGAGGCCAAGCCCCCTTTCCTGTTTAGTTTTCTGGTGTTCTCCTTCCCACCCCCACCCCCAGCTTGGGGGCCCAAATGGGGACCTGACAAGACAGTTTTAGGATCACTGTGTCCTAACCCACGGAGAGGCCCATGTCCATGAGTGGCCCCTAACCATCGAGGGAACAGGTCAGAACCAGTGCAGAGGCCCGGCCAGTGGAGCTGGGGCAGAGACTGGGCAGCCCAAGCCTGACCCAAGCAGCACTGTGAAATACAGCACGCTCTACCACAAGCACTGGCCTGACCGCCCTCTGGAGAGGTCTGGGTTCCGTCACCTAGCGAAGCCAGCGGTGTGACCTTGGGCAGGTCCCAAGCTCAGCATCACCTCTGCAGAAGGAAGGGGCTGGACTTACGGTCTGAAACTCTGCCCGAGACCCAGGGGGGATGGGGCATAACCCTGTCACCCCAATGGGCCAGAACCCAATGTCCAGGCGCCTGTTGCCTGTCTGGGGCCCAGGCAGTCACTTTTCTCCAAAGAACTCAAGGCTGGTGGCTTCCTGCTCTCCAGTTCCACCAGCTAGCCTGGGTGACAAGTCCATTTTGACCCACTGCCATTGGTTAGGGGGATCCCAAGCCTGGGACTGCTTGGTGAGCCGAGGCTGGGCCCGGCCCCCACAGATGGGCAGCAGGCCTTTCCCCCTCAGAGAACCTTCATTTGCTCTAGCTCTTGTGCGTACCTATTCAGGCGCCGTCTCCTCCATGAGAACGTGAGCTTGTAGAGGGCATCCCTAGAGTCTGACACCGTGCTAGGCACACGCTGCGCTTAATGCCTACTAATTAACAAGTTAGGGACTTCTCTCTCTACTCCTAGCCCCAATGGGGACAGACACCACTCCTATGAAAATCCTCTAACATCCACATGCTCATTTCTTTCAACTTGACCGCTGGGTTTTCTAACTTGTCAGTCAACTTTAATGCTGTGAGGGCTTACTACAGGCTCCACACTGAGGATACACCTGGAACTTTGCTGGGTGAACCCAAGTGACTCAATCCCACCGAGCAGGCGGGCAAGGCTCACCTTCCTTTACGGGTGGAGTTTTGGGATCCTAAGGCTCCACAGCACCTGGCGCCACCACCACTTGATTGCTAGGGATGTTGGGGTCTCCACTAGCTTTCTGGGCATCCTTCAGCTAAAACTGAGGGGGGTGGGCCGCACAGCACCGGTCCCTTAAGGAAGGGCGCCCATCCTTTTCTTAGGGAGGCTGGAACTCATTAAGGGAAGTGGTTTCCTCATAAGGCTGCCTATTTTGATCTGATAATGGGCCTGCTTCCTTCCTGCCCCTCCTACTGTACCCCAGCCCCCACATCAACAGTCTTACTCCATTTCATGGCTCTTCCAAAGTGTTTATTGTCATATTTACATCTATTGCAAATAATGGGAGGCTGGAACCAAGAGGCATCCCTGCTCCTCCACCCCGGGCTCTGGGAATGTTGGCCCATAAGATATTCCTGGGACCCAAGGGAACCTCTTCCCCAGTCTGACAGCCAAGGGCCCTCTGGGGCAAGGGTCCAGAAGCTGCCGCCCCAGCTCAAGGCACAAAATGCTAGGGTGAGATGGGAGGGGAGGGGAGGGATTTCCCCTCTATCCCCTCTGGGGATGGGGGTTGAATGGAAGGATCCACTGGCTATCTGGTAAGCCAAGCTTGACTCAACTCTCCTGTTGCCTCATTTCCTCTCTCTTCCCCCATGCTGGTCCTAAACCAGATAGGACAAGGACAGAAAGGAGTCTCTGGGACAAAACAATTGTCATCCTGAGCCTGCCCCAGACAGGACTCCACCTATGGGCTGAAGCCTCCAGGAGCGGTCAGTGATCAGCACCGGCATCACAACCCCACCGAACGTCTGAAGACACTGTCATCCTCACCCCTCACTCCCCGCTCTGCCTTTTGTCCTGGGGTACGCAGAGTGGCGGGACGTCCTCATGTGAGGGAAGGAGGTGAGGACTCGACAGTCATGGCCTCCTAGGGCCATCACCACCCTTCTCCTTCAGGACCTCATCAGGGCGAGGCAGATCCAGCTAAGGAGCAGCCTCTGTGTCCTCCAACCTCAGCTTCGTGGTGGGAGGGGGGCCAGGAAAGTGACATCCTCAGCCAGCCGACACCCAAGGCACGGGTCAAGGCCTCTCCAGGGCTCCCACGTCTCCTCTATTCTCAACAGAGCACTGGCCCCGAGGGCTTAAGTCCAGGATGTGCCCACCCCTATGCCTAGAGGCCCAGGGCAAAGCTTTTGGAGGTTTAGCAGGGGTACAAAGGGGGATGAGTCTTGGGCCTTGGGGTCTAGGACTCCTCTCTTTGGTGTCAGGCACAGGTGGTATGGAGCCCTGAGGCTCTTCGCCCAACTGGGACGTGCCCTGGAAGCCCAAACACCATACCTGCTGGGTGAGTTTTGAGACAGACGGGCGAAGTCACCAAACCAGGGAAGAGAAATCTAGGCCCACGTTTGCCAATCCTGAGCACATTTGCCAATTCCTCAGCCTGGGTCTGCTATGTCCCTCCCCTATGCCAGGAGTCGGATGGCCCCATTGTCTGAGCCCAGTAAAAGGTGACGCTTGGTGGGTAACACAGCCAGGCTTGTGAGCGTCCCCCGGAAGTTCTCCGAGCTGAGCTTGGTGGTGGCCTGAGAGGGCGTCTCCGTCAAGGAGCAGATGCCAATCTTGTTGGCCACGGTGCCCGTCACCACCTCGCTGCCATAGAGGTCGAAGGTGTGAATGGGGTCTGAGGGGGACTTGTAGTGGTGGGTGGGCTTCTGTTCCAGCTCTTTCCAGATGGTCAGGGAGTGGTCTGAGGATGAGCTGATCAGGGTGCTCCCTTCCACAGCCTGGCCCAAAGGAAGAGGGAGATCACAGCAATTAGCCAGAATTCAGGGTGTTCCCCTTCCTCCTGCAAGCTGGGCCTTGGGCTACCCATAATGCCCATAAAACCGATCCTCAGAACCCATTATGCAGGGACAGGCCTGGATCTTAAGGTGGGATCACTATTACGGAGGATGCTCAGACTCTCGCCACTGACTCTTGGGATAACTGGCCCTTTCCCCAGCTCAGCAAGCCCTATCGGGAAGGTGGAGAAAGGTTCTTCCCGATTCCTGACTACCTGAGTAGCTAGCTCCCTCCTCCACCTCTCACCTTCCTCAGCAACACTCTGGGGCTGGGAGTGAAGAGAGGAGCTAGGGGTCCTGACTCATGGGCCTGAAGTGCCCCCACCCCCCATTGTCACTAAGGGAGAGTCAGGGGGAGGAGAAGAGAGCCTGGACTCTGGTCAGCCATGCGGGGGCAGTAAACAGGCCTCCCCTGAGCTTTATTTAACCTCAACTAGGTCAAGGACAGAGGGACTGACCCCTGCCCCTTGGGGCCAGGCAAATATGGACAAGGGTTACTCATTAGAACGGGGCCCCAGGGGGGCAGAAGCGACACCTCCACTCTCACTCCCCCCAGCAAAGCCCCTGCCACATGGAGGTACCTATTATCAAGTCCCAAAGCTATGTGGGATGCTGGGCCAGAAGCACAACACACAACGCAGGCTGGATATTGGCTCAAACCCCAATCAACTCTTAGGGTCTTGAACTCCAAGACAGAGAGCTGGGTGAGGGGAGCTGGTAAGAAGGAACCCGGCTCAGGTCTGTCCTGTTCACCTTCTGGTCAAGCAGCCCGAGCTGCAGGCTAAGATGTCTAGGTTGGACCCGTGCTATGGGAGGCAGGGAAGAAGACCCCACCTTGATTTGCAGGATGTCGCCCTCGTGAGCCGGCCACCCTCGAAGGATAAGTCCGGTCCTGGTGTCCAGTAGTACCATGAAGCCCGAGGAGAAGCCCGCTACAACGCTTCGGCCACTGGGGCTGACGGCCAACGATCGGACGAGGCCAGCGTTCAAGCCACCCCCAAGACGGAACTCATGCTATGGGACCAGAGACAAGGGCTGAGGGACGGCCCAGCTGCCTCCGGGCCTCCCCACGGCCCTCTCTGCCCTGTCATTTACTGCTCCCCACAATACTTGAGGGCCTCCTTTCCCCTACCATCCCTGTTCCCCTAGAGGCTTCTCGTCCACTTAACAAGGCCTTGTCTTCCCCAGGAGGAGCCCCTGAGAAGGTCCAGCGAGAGGGGCACAGTGTTTCCTGTCCTTCCTCTGTCTGAGTCTCCACGTCTCCCAACTACGAGCACAACCCAGGGACTGTTTCCTGTGTGTTTCCTGTGCCCTAGCACACACCTGCAGTCCGGGCTTCCGACAGTCCACAAAACGCAGGGTGGAATCCGCACTGGCCAGGGTGATGCTGGTGTGGGGGGCAGGCATGACAGCCACAGCAGTCCAGGGCACCCGACTGTCCCAAGCCTCCACCGTCCGCACCGTCTTCCCTGGGAGGGTGCAAGCACCGCGTCGGGGGGCCAGGAGGGAACAGCCGGAGCACCCTCCTCTGACGTTACTCCAGCCGTCTGCCCGCCATCTTTCTGTTGCTTCCCATGGGCAGCTCTCAGGGCCCTCCCCTACACAGGCCTGCTGCCCCCTCTGGCCTGGCCTCAAGCCTGCCCCTAGCCCTGCCTCACCCACCCTTCCCCATGCCCAACCCCAATCCCTCTCCCACCCATATGCCAACCTAGCACCACCTTCCTACTACTAAGCCCCCAGGCTAACTCCCTTCCCTTTTCCTTCCCACCCCCAACAACCATCTCCCTCCAGCCCACCTCCTTCTCCAAATTCATCTTACCTGCAGACCCATCACAAGAGGCTAGCGGTGGGTCAGTGCTGGCTCCAACCTAACCCCTGCGTCCCGGCCAGTGTCGTCGGCTGCCTCCCCCCCAAGCAGCGCAGGGGAGGCCTCACCTGTGAACGGGTCCCAGACGTGGACAGTGCCATCACAGCTCACCACCTGCTGGGACGCCTCCAACTGGCTGACGTGGAAGATGCTCTTGCGATGGTGGGTATAGACGAGGCGTGGCGCCGTCTCACTGGTGCCGTCCCCACAGCTGTAGAGGGGCCAGAGCCGGACCGTCCTGTCTTTACTCCCACTCAGGAAGAAGTCCTCACTGCCCAGTGGGGCCACACACTTCACAGCCCCGGAGTGGCCCAGAAAGCTCTGCAGCCTGATTTGATGGAAGTGGAAGTGGGCATCGTGCTGGCTGACACCAATCTCATATTGCCAGTAGGCCAACCAGTTTCCACTCAATCCGTGGGTACATCGAGGCAGGTCGCGCTTCAGGGAACTCTCCTCCCCACCCATCTCACAGAGGCCCCCGATACAGCCGATCTCCCCTGAGCTGGGGCCCAGGGGACCTGGACTGTCAGGCTGTGTGTCTGCAGGAATCTGGATCCGGTTCCCAATCAGGACGCTCCCAAAAGTGCCCGAGTTGCCGTCATCACGGTTTACCCCCCTGCCTTGAGGATCCTGCTCTGTGGCGGCACTGGGCATGGGTGCCAATTTCATAGGGTCCTGGCCCACCGGGCTGGCACTCTCCAAATACTGCCCTGCCAGCTGCCCCACGAGCACGTGGTTGGGGACGATCTTCTGGATGACGTCACCTAGACATGGGTGGGAAGAGCTGCTCAGGTCCAAACGGAAGGCCATCCCCGCCTCAGGACCCAAAGCCCAAGCAAGGAAGGGATCCGTGGGCAGCCCCGACAGTACTCCAGGCTGTGCCCAGAAAGGGCACCCTTGCCTGGAGACACTGAGAGGCAGAGCCCCTGGAGACTGCTAATGGGCCTGCCCCAAGGGACGGGAATCCAGGGATTCTGGAGCTAAGATGACCAAGTCCAGCCCCTCATTTGACGGAAAGGGAGACCCAACCCCCAAGAGTAGAAGTGACTTGCCCAAGGGCACATCACAGTCCATAGCTCTTTTCCCTCTGCAGGGCAAGACCCTCGAGATCATCTGATGCCTTAAGGCTACGTGGCCTAAGATGAGAAAGGGGAGCCTGGAGCCATGGGGCCTGGGGAAGCATCTCAGGCATGACCTCCAAGGAAGCAGAAGGTTACAGAAGACAGGGCCAGAAGCAAGGCACAGGAACAGAGAGGAAAACGAAGCTGGGCAGACGAGGAGCAAAGGAATGGGGCGAGAAGGCCCAGGGCCCGGGAAGCCGATCCGGCCGGCTCGTACCCAGCAGGCAGGAGAAGGGCACGTAGGTCATGTAGGCCATCTCGAGAGTGAACACCTTCTGCAGCTCGTCCAGCAAGGCCAGGTCGACGGCCCGCCGCTGCCCATCTGAGAAGGGCACCTCCAGCACCCGGCCTTCGCTTGGGCTTGGAGCCTCTGGCCTCGGTGCCTACAGGAGGAAGACAAGCCCAGGCTCACGCCTCTTTACTGGCCCAGTGAGGCCAGCCCCATGCCCCCCAGGCCACCCCGCTCACATCCGAACCCACCTGGCACTGAAGCTCATGCACCAGGGAGAACACCTGGAAGAAGGTGGCCACTGTCTCGCCGAGGTGCTGCTGGACCATCTCCTGCCCGATGCGCAGGCAGATCAGGGCGATCAGGCTGATGGTCTTCACACACAGGACGGTCCGGGCCTGGGTGCCCCCGGGGAACCTGAAGGCAACACGTTTACCCGTCACCTGTCTCTTCTCTGCTACCCAGGCCTGCCCCCCTCCCCCAGGGCCTAGGGGAGCGTTAAAGACAGCTAGGCAGAACTGTAATCCAGGCCAAGGGCTCTTCGACTCCCCTTGGAGAGCCACTGGATACAGGGTCCATGAACTTGGATGGCAAAAAAATGACATCGTTATTTTCACTAAACTTTGGTTTCCTTTCTAAGTCTGTGCACTTTATTTTACGCATTTAAACATGTTCTGAGGAGGGGTCCCAAGGCTTCACCAGAGGGGTTCAAGACACAAAAAGGATCCAATCCAACCCCTTCACTTTACAGATGAAGACACTGAGGCCCACAGAGGGGATGTGATCTCCCAAAGGTTGTATGGCTAGTTGGCGGCAAAGCCAGGACCAGAATGAGGCCCCAGGTCCCAGCTCAAAGCTCTTCTCTGGCATTGCCGCATTACCGTATTTCCCTGTGGCCAGCTCCTCCCTCCTCAGGGACCCTTCTCTGCTCCTCCCCTTCCCCAGGCCTCCCTTTGGAGGGAGTAGCCTACCCTGTGACGAGGGAGGTCAGGGAGCTGAGCACAGGCAGGAGGACCTCGTGGCTGATGCGGGGCAGGATGTCCATGAGTGTGGTGTCACAGAGGTACACAATGATCTTCTGTGTCAGGGTCACAGCTGCCAGCAGGCCTGCCTCCTTCCGGCTATTGAGGCGGCTGGGACCTCCCCCCGCTCCCGGAGCCACCTTGGAACGAGGAAGGGAAAAGAGGCCAAGTCACCCTGAACCCTATTCAGAGAGGTGCTCCCCAATGATCCCTGCCTGCTCACGGGCCCTGAGAAAGGGCTTCGTTCCTCTTCCCTCCCACCCACCTGGCGGCATCTTATAGCCCCAGGCCTGGCCCAGCTAAATGAGGACTCAGGGAGGTGCGGAAGAGCTCAGGACCAGGGCACTGACCAGGTAGCTGATGTAGGGCAGATACTGGTAGGTGAGGACGGGCTCCCCATAGAGGCAGGCCACGTGCATGAGACAGCCCAGCACGGGAGCCGACACCACATCCCCCAGCACCGGACGCTTCTGGTAAATGTTGCCCGAGTTCAAGGGGCTCGCGTCGCTGCTGCTCCCCATAAACTGCTGCCTTGTGGCACCTAGGGAATGGGAAAGGATGGACCGCGGCTGCTCTCGGAAGTGGGGGGAAAAACTGAGCAGCGAGCTACCCCAATGTTCAGGTGGAATCACAGAATTAAAGCCCTGGAAGGACCTCGGAGAACACAGGAGCCATACGGTACCCGCGCCTGCTACCTGCCCTGTGCACACAACACAAGGACCCTCCTTCCCCGACCCTTCCAAGGGAGAGGGAAGGAGCCCTGGGTGGGACCAGAACCCCCAACTAGAGGGTCATCAGGAAGGGCAGGAAATAAAGGAACTTGCTGGGGGAGTGAGGAGAGGCAGAGGAGGTGCCCGCTGCAGCATGAAGGGATTTCATCTTCCCCTCTCCCCTCTAACACCCACGTTCTCCACAGACATTACCAACGTAGCAGGAGGTCAGCAAGCGAAGAAGATTCCGGGCCACGTAGCGGGACGTGACAGTGGGGCCAAGCTTGGCCGAAAGCCAGCGGATCATCTTGCATGCGGTATCTGTAGGGGGGAGCCGGGGCCTGGGGCTGTCAGATAACAACCTGCTGGACCAGGCACAAGCTACACTCCGCCCTTCCCCGCCCAGGCACCACACTGCCAAGAAAGCTCCCCGGCCTCCTTTCCTGGGAGGCCCCGACCTCGGTCCCCTCAGGCCTCAGCCGCTCTGCCCTCACCACCTGGGGACAGAGAAGCTTCCCAGCTTTTCGTGGGATCCCACGTCTGAGGCCGGAAGCTCTGGGTACTTTTCTCCCACTCTAGTACCGAGCATCTGGACACGGCAGAGAACTCACCCAGGAGAATCTTCTGCTCTTTGTCCTCAGACTCATCGGCGAGGTCCTCCTCCTCCTCCCCGTTTCCGTCATCGTTCGGTAAGCCAGCATCCACAGAGACACCCGTGTCCGAGAGGGGGAGCTCAGGCGCTACCGGGCTACCGTCCTGTTCATCTTCCTCCTCCTCTCCAACTCCCCCCGCTGGACCAGCGACTTCCTCCTCGTCCTCCGCCGCATCCTCCTCCTCCTCCTCCGACCCTTCACTCTGCTTCAGGTCCTGGCCGCTCTTGGCCCGTGGGAGCTCGGCCTCATCCCCAGGCCGATCGTCCCCCAGGGACGCCTCGCTGGGGCTGCTCTTGTCGCTGAGCCGTCCCAGGCTGAGAGCCTCGGGCTCCGGAGGCGGGGGAGACCCTGCCACGTACAGACCCGCCTGGAAGTCCTCGCCCTCGGCCAGGTCGGCCTGGTCGTGGAAGCTGACGCCTGACGTGTAGTCCAGGAGTCCCAGGCCCGACGGGCCCGGGTCCCCTTCCATTTGGATGGTACGGGGGCCCAGACCCTCGTCCCCTTCCCCAATCTCCTCATCTTCCGTGGTCCCCCCCAAGCACTTGGTGTCCTCCTGAGAAGTCTCCACCCCAGCCAGGACCTGAAGTACATGCGGCAGCAAGTGGGAAAGGAAGGCCTGGAGCCCAAGGCGGACCATCAGCTGGGCCACAAAGCAGTCAGTGTACAGATAGAAACGGCCATGCAGCTGGCAGGGGTTCTCGTAGGCCCCAACCAGGGGCTTCAGCAAGTACTTGTTGGCGTTCTTGGGGCCCAGGGCCCGGGCGATGGGCTCAAACAGGTACCAGGCCGCGTACACAGCCGTGTGGGCCTCCGACATCAAGGACAGCACAAAGGGAAGGAGGATTTCCAGGCCTTCGGGAGTGATCTCCCGCAGGGTCCCCTCCACCTGCTGCCACAGCTGAAACACCAGCTCCCGCCCCTGCGCCTCGTCCTCCACTCTCCTCGTCTGGTACAGGAGAATAAACTTGTAAAGTGACGGGAAGTAGGAAGGAAAGGTCACAACTGAGCTGTACGGGCTGAGGAGCTGAGCTGGACTAGGTGGGGGCAGGCCCCAGGAGATGGGCTTATACGCAAAGAGTCTCCCGGTCATCGGGGGCTCCACAGGCTCACTCAGCTGCAGCAGGGTCTCCAAAACAGGCTGCAAGGGGATGGGGATCTCCTTGGGGTAGCGGGAACAGAGCCCACGGACGGCGAGGAAACGTTCCCGTAAGGGTGCCTCAGGCCGCAGCATCCGCACCCTGGCTGCAAACACAATCTCAGCCACGAGGACCCCCAGGGCCTGCATGTCTCTCTGGAAGAGATCAGCAAGCTTCAGGGCTGGTGTGGCCGGGGGATCATCCGGGGCCTCCATTCTGCCACGAAGGCCTCTGGCCAGAAAGTTGCCAAATTTCTCCAGCTCCTCCAGAGCTTGCAGGGGATTGAAGCCCTCAGGAAGGACAATCCTCCCGTCATCCCCTTCCCCAACGTCTACTCCGCCAGCCTTGTTTCTTCGGCCCAGCCGTGCCATCGAGACTGATGAGAAAGGGTGGCCGGAAGCCTGCAAGGAAGAAGGGCAAGGCTGGTCAACAGTTTTGCCAGCCAGAGAGATGGAATCCAAGGCCTCTGTCCCCTGTTCCAAGTCATCATCACCCCCAAGAGGTCTATCCCCACTCCAGGCAGCCTCGCAGGGCATAGCCTCCAAAACTAAACCATCAGCCCCATCAGCCAGCTGGCCTGGGACGTCTTCTTGACCAGCAGTCTCTCGGACTATCTGGATGAGAGGCCTGGGGATGACCGGTGGCTCAGGGGCCAGGGCTGGGGCTCCTACCAGGCGCTGGGGGTGGGGCTGGTCAAAGAGTTGTACCACACCATAACTGGTCAGATGCGTGTGGCTATCTACAAGGTGCAAGCACACATTCTTCTCCTTCACTGCTTCCTTGCCTTGCAACTTGTAGCCAAAGGTGAGGTCAATCCAGTGATGAAGGTCTTGGGATACTTCTTGGCTTTCCAGCAATGCCCGATGGGCCGCCACAAACTCCTCACCTGAACTGCACCAGGCTGGCACATCCAGATCTGGCATATCTGAGTGGATGGAGCGGAAGATGGTGGGATCAGTATAGAATTCAGGGATGCATTCGTCAGGTGTCCAGCTCTGCATGCGTTCCATGCTGGCCGGGTATTCGTGGGGTTCCCACTGGGCCCTCACGTGGCCACAGAGCACAGCCCGGGGAGTGCGCCGTGCTGTATACACGTAATAAGTGATGTCAGACAGCACATCCGAGATGTGGTGTGGCACATGGGGTGGTTCTCCAGCACTGACACCGCCACTAGCCACAAAGGCCTGTCGTGTCATCTCGTAAGTGAAATCCAGCTGTTTGTCCCCTTTATTGAGCCGGAATTTGGACTTTCGCAGATCCCGGAAGCGTCCATTCTGGGTGGTGAAGTCAACCACCCAGGGCAGCACAGGGTGGTAGTTGGGGTCTCCCCATCGGCGCCCCGCCAGCCAGTTCAGCTGCATGAGATAGTGAAAGTTACTGACTCGGCCATGGACCCAGTCGAGCACCAGCCTCCTCAGCCCTTCCTGGCAAATAGGATCCCTGGGCCCTTCTCCCTTCGTGGGCTCAGGGACACTCGCAGGCTCAGCCTCCACTACGTTCTTCATAGGCTTCTCTTCCTCCTCTTCCTCAGGGGCTTCATAAGCACTCAAGTCCGGCTGGAGTTGGCTGCACAGCTTCTCATCCACAGCAACATGACACAGGGAGAGGGCCCCACAAGCCAGACCTTGTCGATGACAGGCATCCATAGCCTGCAGCACATGGAAAAGGATGAACAGCACTTTGGCATGGCTGTTACTGAGCTTGGCTGGACTGAAAGTGACCACATCGTGAAGACAGTACTGCACATGAGGGTACACAACATACAACATGTCTGGCGATTCTAAGAGCGCTTCAGCCTGTAAGAGATTGGGGCAGACTGTCGCGGCCCTAGGAGCTGAGGGGCCCTCCCTCACAGGAGATGGGCACTGGGTGCCCTTGCCCACTTGAAGGAATGGGCAGCCATAAACCTTCTGCAAGGCCTGCTTCACAGCACTGAGGGCAGAACCTTCAGGCGGAGCAGTGCCGTGGTTGTATGGCCGCCCATGGGCATGGTAGGCACTATGCCACAGGTTGCGATAGTTCTGGGCAGCAGTATCCCGCATAAATCTGGTCAAGGTCTCAGGGACCCCAGAGTGCTCTTCTGAAGGTTGGCTGGAGCCCAGAGCCAGTGGATAGGCCAGTTTCCGCTTCCGCAGCCCATGTATTTCCACACGTGTCCAGCCAGCTGGCAGTCTCTGTACTGAGCGCTGAAGGAGGGTTCTTGTTTCAGCTTCACTCAACCCCTCAGTTCGGGGACAGGGCCCAGGAGGCAGCTTCCTTTCCCGGAGACTTGCCAGCCACCGCACAGGCACCAGGGCTACCACATAGGTACCCCCAGGAGCCAACGCCAGCTGTCGAGAGTCAATGCTTAGGTCCCTCTCCACACTCTGAAGCAGCCCCTCCATGTCAGAAGAAGAAGACACCAGGATCCTAGAGAAGTGAACAGCGAGAAAGCCTCAGCTTGGACAGAAAAACTCTACCTTCTTCTTTATCGTTTCTTGTAGCCCCCCCCCCCATTCCTTCCTGCTTTCTTTTGAACTGCCACCCCCTCCTTTCCCCTTCCCTTCTTCCTACCTTCTCACTTGCCTTTCTCTTCATGCTTCTCTCCCTCCTTTCTTCCCCCCTTCTTCTTATCTCTCCCCCTCCCTCCTCCCTGCCCCTTCCTTCCCATCTTTCCCCTCTTCTTTACCTCTCTCCGTCCACCCCTTCCCCACTTTTCTCCTAACCTCTTTCCCCCTCCCTTCTTCCTGATCCACTCCTCCTCCTCTCTCCTCCCTCCCCTGCCCCACCTTCCTCCCTTCTTCCTGCCCCTCTTTCTTCCCCTTTCAGTTCCTTGCCCCTCTCTTCCTCCCCCTCTCCTCTTTCTCTTCCTCTCCCTCCTCCTCTTCCTCCTCCCCTTCCCAAGGCCGACCCTGCTCAGGGCAGGACGAAGTCGTGCCCACTCTCACCGTGGCTCACGGACCACTCAGCAGGACGGTTGGGGCGGTAGAACCCATTAAGCGCGGGTACCAGCCATGACGGATCAGCTGACTCGGGTCACGTGAGCGCTCCGGCCTAGGAAACAAGCGCACGTGGCCCGGACTCCGGGTAGGGCGGGCAAGATTGGGCCAGGGGCGGGGCTAGGCTCCGCGAGAACGGAGAGGGCGGGGCGTCCGTCCTTGCGCCTCGCTCTAAGGGGTGGGGCCTCCCTCACTCCGCCCGCTCGCTCTGGTGAGCGGGGCACCCCGCGAGTGCCGTCCATCCCGTCTCTCCAGAACTTTCTCTTCCACGACGACCCCCAACCCTGCCTCTGCTCGGCTTCCTCCCTCAGGCTGCTGGCCGGAGAGTCTTGGCGGCCTGTCGTCTCCTCCCTGACTTCCAGGGCCGGTCACCGCCCCCTCGTAGGGCCCCTAAGCTCCTTACAAATCCAGCCACGTCGGGTCTAGAACCCAGGCCCCCGGGGTCCATTCCCCTCCCCCCGCAGCTACTGCAGATTGTGGAGTGGATGGGCATATGTAGGAAGCACAGTGGGAAAGAACCCCCCCCCTCCACCGCCTGAGCCAGGCTTCTCCGCCTCGAAGTCCACCAGCTTCCAATGCCCCTGCCTGGAGACCCTTCCCCTCCCGATCTGGTCGGAGGAGAAGGCCTTCACTGCCCTGGGGCTGCCTCAGCTTGGGGTGTGGGTGGGGGGGTCCTTGAGAACGGAGGATCTCGAGAGGGTAAGGAAGCAAGAAGCACGTGGCCCCAGCCATTTGCCTCCCCTCCCTTTTGGGGTGGTCAGAACCTCTGACCCCTCTCTAACTGCGGGATCCAGAGGGAGAAAGGCAATCAATGGGCATCGACCTGACTCGGTTTCTCCACATGTGAAATGAGCATGCTTCGACAGAGACGGGGCGGGAAGAGTTAGAGCTGCACCGGTCAGCGGAGAAATGACATTGCCAGGAAACGCCAGGACATTGCATGGTCAGCTATAACGGTTCTGGGTTCAAAGTTCTGAATCACAGAAGGCACTCTCGGTCATTTGGTAAAGGGCATATGCTGAAGACACACATTTGCATTCGATGAAGGAACGTCTCCAAAGGAGGTGCGCACAGGGAGGGCTGTGACGCGGCCAGTGCAACATCTGACTTCAACCTCATTCTCCAATTCTTGGAAGAAACGCCAGCCCCCTTGCCAAAGTGACAGTCAGGTAGGGGCAGGAAGTCATGCTATTCACTTCAACAAACAGCGTCTCCTTTGCAGGTGCTTTAACTGAGAACCTGTCCTACACCGATTACGTTCACAATTTAGGAAACTTTGGACGAACTCATCTGACTTGGGCTGGGCATCTGGCCTCCCACCTTATCCAAATCTTTGGGTGTACTGCCCTCTAGTGGTGTTATCTTATACTGCAGGAGGTGGCCCAGGCTGTATCCACCTCTCGCCCCCACCCTCACCCCAATCCAAGCCCCATTCTCTATTCCTGAAATATGTGGTACTAACCTTGGAGAAGCTCCTTGCTGCTTTCGGGACATAGATTCCCACTGACCCCAAATCTCAGAGTCTCACCCCTGAAAAGTCTTTTTGTTCCATCCCCTTAAGAGACTTTCTTCCAGACATTCTCCCCCAGCCCACCCCCATGCCAAAAGAAACAAAACACCCCAGATTGGGAAAGTTAGGGAATAATTGTCACACTCCCTCCCCCCAGGCCCCAGGTAGATCACGTATTGGCCAGTCAGAGAGCTGAGCAGCTGCCCTAGCAACGGCCCCATTATGGGTGGGATTAGTTCTTATTGGCTAGAGAAGAGGGGCGGAGGGAGATCAACTAGGAGAGGTGCCTGCCCAGCTCGTGGAAGAACAGGAGAGAAGCACTGCTGTGGCTGGGCTCAATGATACTCTACCAGGATTTGGGGTTCCATGATGACAGAGATTGGAGGGGAGGCCTTTGGTAAAACACCCTTGTTATCTCCAAGCCTAGCTCCAGCCCTGTCCTTCATCACCCCCACCTTCCTGCCCTGGGACATCCAAGTCAGTCTGAGGTCCCAGGAATTCACACTAGACTTGTCCTAGAATGACCCTGTCTCCCTGCCAAGGGCTGGGTGGAACCAGTCTTCCAAGGACAGGGTATTTACCTGGGCTCCATTGTTGAGCCTTCCAGCCAAAGCTCCTGGAGATGAAGGTGGGGTGGGGAGGAGACCTGGAATCTACTACTAACTATACCTATGGCCATTGGGAGGACCGATATTAACCCATATCTTTGATAGAGTACTAGGCTAGGTTAGGGACATTTACAGGGGAAAACTAGAGTGGAGGGCACTTTTCTGCGGACTGGAAGCTCTTGAGGAAAAGGCCAGAAATTAAAATGGTTAATAACCTCAAGGAAGGCCCCATAGATAGACCAGCCTAGAGAGGGAGAAAAGTCTCCAAGTTACCCAACCCCTGCAGAGCGTCACCAGGGAGGGAATACAGTCCTGGGGTCCTTCCCTAGCCTAGGGTATCCCCCCAAACCTGTGCCCTTTTGGCACTGGTCAATCTAGGCTCCTCTTTTCCATACCAAACACCGACCCCCCCCACCCCATCACTTCTCTTCCTTGGCCTCAAGGCTTCTCCCTCCCCTCCCTAGGGTGGGCCTTTCTCTAATGACAGCATTGACAGGAAATGCTTCTCATTCCATCCTCTAGCTCTGGGGCTCCCAGGGATAGACAGATAGACCTCCCCCTTCCCGCCTCTGGAGAGAAACGTAGCCCAAGGTCCAGGAGTCCACAGGAGGAGAGGAAAAGGGGTGGGTGATTCTCGGTCCAGCTCTTCTCCACCTCCCTTTCCCAAGGGGACATCACGTGTGCTGGAGGGGGGAGGCAGGGATACTGAAGGTTGGGGGAGGGATGTGGAAACAGCTGATTCGTCCAGAGGTCACACACTTTCCAGCAATCAGCTGTTACCAGGGCTAAAAGCAGGAAGTTTCCTTAAAGGGACAAGCTGCTTCTGCCCGGCCTGAGAGTCGCCGAATCTTAGAGCTGGAAAGAGCCCTAAGATCTAGTCCAACCCCCTCGTTTGACAGATAAGGAAACAGTCTTTCCTCTATCTCCCTTCCAAGCCCAATCTTAGCTGAAGAAAATGCCGAGGGCAGAAACCACCGCTGGCAGAGGAAAGAGGTAGGAGGAAGGAAAGTCTGACTTAAAGCCGGGGGACCCTGTGCGAGTCATCACTCCTCTCAGCCTCAGTTTCCTCATCTGGAAAACGAAGGGGCTGAAACCAAGGGCCTCTAAGGTCTCTTTCAAACTCGAAATCTATGTTCCTATGATCTCTGTGTGTCAGTCTCCTCCTCTGTAAAAGAAGGTTGAACCTAATGGGCTCTTAGATCCTTTCCAACTATAAATCATTAGCCTTTAAGCCCTGGCTGCACATTTAGCTCCTACCCTTCCCCCCCCCAGGTATGTCCCTTTAAATAACCTGTAAAGTCATCGACTCAGAGTCGCTTTTGCCAAGTCATTGGGTTCAGCTAAGTTTGCCTATCCCTCCCACTCTGGACTCTGATTGGTCCCTAGGGAAGAAGCTGCTTCCTCATTGGCCTCCACCTTTGCAACAACTCCTAGCTTGAGTCGAGGAAGATTTTTTTTTCTTTCTGAAGGGAGGGGTGAGGAAGGAGGGAGGGGGAGCAGGCACCCCTCCAGCTCCGCTAATTCCCAGGTTTGTGGCAGGAAGCCGCCCCCACCCAGCTGAGGGCTGAGGTGAAGCATCTCCATAGAGGCCGTCCAGGGGAGGTTTGGGTTTCATTTGTTGCTGGCCCTGGAATCCCTCTGCCAAGAGGAAGGGCCGTAGAGAGATGCAGAAGCCAGAACCGCTGAAGGTGGTTGGGGTTGGACTGAGTCCTTTTCTCCGTGCCCACCCTCACACCTCCCGGCAGACTTTCCCCATTCAGGGGCCTTAAAGTGAGAATCGGAACATTCATGCTCATAACTGCCGCTGCCGCCGCCGCCCCGCTTCCCTCTCTTCCCTCCCCCAGGAATAGCTGGTGAACACGTTTAGGGGAGTGCCTCCCTCCGAAAGCTGTGTTCATCCAGAGGCCAGGCCATGCCCACCCATGAGCTCTGCATGATCTCTGCCCTGGCTGCCTCGGGATATGAGTTCTTCCCCCTCCACGTGTCGAGGCCTCTCCTTTTCAGTTGTGGCCACCCTTCCCTCGAGGGGGGGGCTCCTGCCCCAACTCCTCCTCCTCCACGGAGGCTACCGAGTGGGAATCCCCTCCTGCCCTGCCACTTAGCCCACTCTTGGGGCCCGTCTAAGGGTGGCAGGTTTTTCCCCTTGGGGGAGGGGCGCTGGCCCTTTAAGGACTTTTCTGGTCTAGGATCCGGGTTGAGTTTAAAAATGCCAACTCACAGAGCGCCCGGGATGCTGGGAACTGTAGTGCCAACGCGAGAACTACGCTGGCCGACATGCACTGCGCCCACCATCACTGTCTTCCTCTTCGTCTCCAAGTAGCTGATTGGCTTTGCGGAGCGCTAATCAAAATAAGAAGCCTGAACTGAGGGCTGGGTGTGGGTCTTTCCACCTATTGGCCATCTCGCGAGTTGGGAGGCATGGTTCAAAGCCGCTTTGCTCGGAAGGAAGCGGATGACCTCGGTGTCAATCAGAGCTGAAACGGCCTGGTAGGCGGGGATAAAGGCGGAGTTGGAGCTCCCTGAGGCGTGGCCACGTTCGCCATCGGTGGGTGGTGATTGGCTGAGGGCGGTGCAACCGGGTGTCATGCGTCACGACGCCGCCAGCTGATCGGAGGCTGGAGCCGGTGTGTGCGGGGCGCTGGGGAGAGACGGCGGCGCCGGCCGAGGGGAGCGGACGCGTGGGATACGCTCTCTCCCAGTCCAGCTGCCCCCCAGCGCTCGGGCTCCGGCGCCCCCGCCCGGGACCAGGTGGGTGTGAGCCGTGGGGGCCGCGCCGGGAGCGGGGTCCGGGCGGGCAACGGGGTCCGGCGGCCACACCCTGCACTCCGGCCGAAGAGGGGGTGGCTAGGTGGGTGGGTGCCCGCCCCGGGAGAGGGGCGTCAACCCAAGTCCGGTCCGGAGGAGGTTAGCAGGGGGCAGTTTCGCTGGGAGTGGGGTGGGGGGGTGGAGAGATTCAGTTCCATTGGACGGAGCTAGG